AAACTCCAGCAGTCACTCTCAAATCCAAATGAATGGATATGAAGGCACTAATGTGGGTGTTTTGCAAAAAATCCGTAGAGAAGTAAAACATTACGTAGAGGAGGAATGATAACGGATTCGCAAACTCAAAATCACATTTCCTACAAAACTGAGTCATCCTTCAAGCATCACAATAAAGGGTCGTTTTTGTGCAAAGGTAAAAGAGGGACAGACCCTACAATACTATAGGACCAACAGGCAGCTATCACTTAAGCTGTGTCTAGCACAGCGCGATTTATGTATTAATAAATGGCTTATGTACCAACTGCCGATATGAAGATGCATTTTTTATATAGTTCCCTGCAGATTTTTTGTCACTAGCGGCACTGATTTTTCCGGAAGATGCTTTTAGCTAAAAGAATTCAGATTTGCCGCCAGGACTGTCAGGAAATATTGCTTTAAGATTTCAGCTTTCTAGCCTTCCTGGTTCCTGAGTTATCAACTTACCCACAACAAAATCCACGAGCCCATGCATAGGAATCACTCATACCCGGAGACTGGGCTTGAACTCATTAACACCTAGACGGTAAACATCCCCTTAAAATTCCAGTCTTCTAGCTTCTCAGGTTCCCATGTTACCAACTTACTCAAAAACTTTCACAAATCTGTACGTGGGAACCACGCATACCCGAAGGCTGGGTTTAAGCTCATTGAGACCTACGTGGGAGGGCGGGGAACGCCCCTTAAAATTTCAGCTCGCCAGTTTCTCTGGTTCCCGAGTTAGCAGTTTACTCGCAAAAAATTTTGGCGAACCCGTATGTGAGTACCACGCGGGCAAGGACGCCTATTTTGGGGATGGAGGCCCGTACATTCATGCAGATTAAGTCTCCGAATTTCCAGCCCTGTAGCTTTTATAGGTCTCGAAATGAAAAATCGGTACAGACGAACACACAGATACATACATACATACATACACACACACACACACACACAAACAAACAAACAGCTTCCCGTCAATATGCGTTTTCTGCACTGCACAGGTTTAAAAAATGCATAACAAAATCGAGAAACAGCACTGCGTCCATTTTAAATATGCCTAAGCGGACTGGTTGTCAGATGAGAAGCGAGATGCGAAAATTTCGCAACTACAGCAGGATGACGAGCCCTCGAAACGAGGCAATCCCGGCAACAGCAAATTTTCACAAGCAAATGGTAATTTAATGAAAATGCATACCGATGCAAAGAGAAGGCGGAAGACCAACATATAGTGCATACTGCAGGGGGAACAGAACGGCAAGATACAAAAGGAACAGAGGCCAAAGTCGTCGACACGCCACACGTGAGGAGAGAGAAAACAGCAGCAGCCAAATGAGGAGAAGTGTACCAAGCAGATCCATACGCACCCATGCCACCACCACCATCATCGTCATCGACAACTTAATTCAGTTCTTTCCTTGCGCGTGAATTTTTGACCGCACAATTTTTTAGGCAAACAAAAAATCACTATTTGCAATGTCTTTCAGCAAATCAATGAAGTTACCTCTAAACCGAATTTGTAGAATCCATAATTGAAGAAGAACTTGATCATATCAAGCAAACTGGCGTCCCAATGTTTTGGGTCCGCTTCCGGGAATATAATCCCTCGAGGTGGTGTCGATATTCCCAGCAGCATGCGCTTATTTCGTTGTCGATAGATTACAATTGCTTGCAGTGCTAGTGCCACTAACATGGCAATCAATCCCTACAAAACAGTCTCGCGCATAAACCACACTCAGTCGCAAATTTTGTACGAGAAACGAACTGAAATGATCCAACGCGCTGGTAAAATTCGACATCTCAGTTACTCGTGTTTCCTGAAGTGACCCGATCCCGCAGTGGCAACACTTACTTGCAAATAATCCCCAATCACAGAAACTTTTCGGAAGCCAAACCAGTGCACTATGGCGTCAAAATTGAATTCGGATGAATTGCATATTAGGTGTTCGGGATCGACAACCAGCTCACGCTCCACCACAAAGTGCATCTGAAAAGACGACACACTGCAAATGCCTGGGAAAACGTATCTCTTATACGAATTTCGCACTTTTCCAAGAATCAATATGGCATTAAGAAGGCAAAACAAACCTGATAAAGCATTCGAAGTATCACAAAAACCGATACGAAAAAGCACAAAAGCAATGCAAGAAGGGAGGAGATCGCCGGTAAACAGAGAGCCAGAGAAATAAGTATCATAACTGCCAAATTCAGTGCACATATCTGAAAACGCTCAGAAGATGAAATTACGCTTCTTTTCCGCGGATGGACTA